AAATGAGTCTTCCTGCATTGAACAGCTGGTCAACGTGAGCCGAAGGTGATATTGATATGTTATATTTTAATAATAAAGAATAATAGATTTCAACCTATCAGAAACTAGATGCATCAAACACGGTTTCTGACAGATTAAAATCTGGGGGTAGATTGTGTAATTTGAAATGAGATGATAATTAAAAAAGTGAGCAAACTCACTAGAATATTTATCATTTCATTGATCAACATCTATTAAATTTGGTTATTTTTGCAATTGGTTATTTTCTCATATTAAGCTATCGCTATCGTCGTATTATGTCTGAGACTTAACTTCAAAAAAATTAAATAAAAAATTAATAGTACGGATAAAATGTAACTAAATAAAGTTAAAATGTTAAGAGTCTAAATTGTAACTAAATTAAAATTAATTAATTTTTTAACTTTTTTTATCTTAACTTTTATCTTTTTAACTTAGCACCCAACTCTGACACATATATTATACATATAATGCATGAGAAAATGAATCAATCAAAATCTTTCGCTTCCTTCCTTTTTATGAAATAAAAAAAAATGTTATACTTTATGCAAGAATCTGTGCTACCTATTTAGCATAACTTCAAATATAACTTAATTTAAATTCAGTAGCAGATTCACAAGGAAGCAAACAAAATGTAAATAAGAGTTCAGATAAAGCTAATCATATTGTAAGAGCGGAGAGATAGGAGAAGCAGATAATCCTCAGGTGTTGCTGGTTATCTTTAATTTATTCCGAACGTTTTTTTCTTTTGAAGTTTTTCTCAGCGAATATAAAATCATAGATCTTCCATTAATCTCTTAATTAGCCTTATATGAACTCTTATTTATATTTTATTGTTTAAGATTGAGAGTCCTTATTTATATTTTATATTTATATATTTATTTTAATTGTTTTGAATATAGCAAAATGTTCCATTTTTAATATTTCTGAAATGCTTAATAATTTTTTTAAATATTGCAAAAATATTTTTTAATTTAAGAAACTCTTAAATATAAAAAAATATAGATTTATTTATATTATATCATTATATTTTATTTGTGTTAAATTTAAAATAAAATGATTTATGAATTACACATATTTAAATAATAATTTAATTTAATATTCTATATTTTCATATATTTGATTTTAAAAAGAAATTTTGCTTGCGTACATTGAGAGAAAAAGTTGCTGTTTCAAAATAATATTAGTTGATTCAATTAAAATGTAGCGGTCATGGACATGGACTGTCAAGCAAATATTTATCAAACAAATGACATCTTTTAAAATACAAGATTTTATTAATCTAAATATATAAATATTTGAACTAAATAATCATTAAGAACTAAACACATTTAGTCAAGTTTAACAACTTTTTTTCTCAGTGCAATGGCTTTTCTCTTTAACAAATTTCTGGATTCATCATTATCTAAATTAATCAAAATTTTGTTAGATTATTCCTTTCGATAGGCAATTTTTTTCAATTATTCACGTCTGATAAAAACTGGTTTTTAAAGAAATTCTTTTAAAAAATAGTGCCTCACCCTCTAAATTTGCCGCATAGCTTAGATTAGCTTAAGCATTATATAAGCATCATTGTTAGCACTTGAAAATTTTGCGGAGACTTCGGAGTTTCGCAAGTTTATATGACAATTTACCGACGATAAATTATGACATTCGCAAGAGCTGACAATAGACGGAATGCAAATTTGCGCGACCGTAACGCGCCGAAGTATGTACAATGTTTATACATACATATATGTATTATACATACATATATTCCGAACGAATATTCACGAATAATTTCACTTCCCTATGGATTGATTGAACTGGATCAGCAGGTCACGAGATCATGCTAATATAATGTAAGACCTTAAAAGAATTTAACATTAGAACAGAATTTAAGGAAATAAAAAATTAGAAAGATTGAACGCAAATTAAAGAGATTAAACAATCGACATAAATAAAAAAAAATAGTTTTATTTATAATATATCCATTGTGTGTTACGTTTAATCTTTG